TCCGTGTGTTTCCCTGTTTCTCCACATGCTCCATGCCAATCTGCCAAAGGTAAAAATATCAAGTATTTAATTATTCTTAATACACTTTTTTGGAAACTAACTCCATTATTCAGCCTGTTCAATCAGTTGTACCTGCTTCCTGAGCTCCAGGTCTATAAGTGTATTTCCACCTTTTCCCTTGTGAGTCCCCTTATTCTGCTACCTCTTCATTATCTGAAAAAGAAAAACCTGACACAGACATGGCCACATTAACCATCCATACTCACCACCACACTTGTATGTTTGTAAGACATCCATCAATTCACCCGTTAGTCTGATTTTTAAAAATAAAATACTGACCATCCAGTCATTGCTGAGGTGTGTGATTCCCTTTTTCTCCATGTGGTCCATTCCATTCTGCAAAATACAATAGAAAGATGTAATTAATCATTAATTAATGTTAAAACATTTTTTTGGGAAACTAAATCCATTGTTCAATCTGTTCTAGCATTTCTACCTGCTTCCTGAGCTCCAGATCTTCAAGTATGTCTCCACCTTTCCTCTTGGGAGTTCTCCTTCTGCTCCACTTCAACCTGCAAAAGAAAAAGACAGCCCCAACTAAACCCTAACGGCTCCTCTTCTGCCTGTTCTATCTCCATTACCAGAAAAAGAAAAACCTGACATAGACAAGGCCTATTTAACAATCTAGACCAACCACCATTCTTGTATCTTGTAAGGACAATCACCCATGCACCTGTTGATCTGATTTTTAAAACAAATTCCTGACCATCAATTTCCAGTCATTCCTGAGGTATGATTTCCTTTTCTCCACATGCCACAGTCTAATCTGCAAAAGACAAAAACAAGACTAACAGAGCTCTATTGACTGACTGATCTCCAGCAATAAACCAAGTGTTCTCCAGTCTTCTTCAATTAAAATTCACCATTCCGCTTGTGAGTCTGTCTGTTGTGGTTCCATTACCTACAATGTAAATATTAGCCATAGGGAAGACATCTAACAATCTATGCCCACCACCACCCCCTTCCTCTTGGAAGGACATCCATCCATGCACCAATTTGTGTGTTTCCTTGTTTCCTTTGACCAATCTGCCAAAGAGAAAGATATCAAGTATTTAAATATTCCTAATACATTTCTTTGGACTCTTACTCCCTTGTTCAGTCTGTTCAATCAGTTCTACCTGCTTCCTGAGCTCCAGGTCTTCAAGTATATCTCACTGTAATCTATGCCCACCACCATCCCCTTCCTCTTGGAAGGACATCCATCCATGCACCCATCCGTGTGTTTCCCTGTTTCTCCACGATCCATGCCAATCTGCCAAAGAGGAAGAAATCAAGTATTTAATTATTCTTAACACACTTTTTTGGAAACTAACTCCATTGTTTAGTCTGTTCAATCAGTTCTACCTGCTTCCTAAACTCCAGGTCTCTAAGTATATCTCCACCTTTCCCCTTGTGAGTCCCCTTATTCTGCTACCTCTCCATTATCCGAAAAAGAAAAACCTGACACAGACATGGCCACATTAACCATCCATACTCACCACCACTCTTGTATCTTTGAAGGACGTTCATCCATGCACCTGTTGATCTGATTTTTACAACAAATTCCTGACCATCAATTTCCAGTCATTCCTGAGGTGTGATTCCCATTTCTCCACATGCCCCAGTCTAATCTGCAAAAGACAAAAACAAGACTAACAGAGTTCTACTTGCTGGCTGATCTCCAACAATAAACCAAATGTTCTCCAGTGTTCTTCAGATAAATATTCACCATTCCGCTTGTGAGTCTCCCTCTTCTATCTGTTGTGGTTCCATTACCTACAATGTAAATAACAGCCACAGAGAAGACATCTAACAATCTATGCCCACCACCACCCCCTTCCTCTTGGAAGGACATCCATCCATGCACCAATTTGTGTGTTTCCCTGTTTCCTTTGACCAATCTGCCAAAGAGAAAGATATCAAGTATTTAAATATTCCTAATACATTTGTTTGGACTCTAACTCCATTGTTCAGTCTGTTCAATCAGTTCTACCTGCTTCCTGAGCTCCAGGTCTTCAAGTATATCTCTACCGTTCCCCTTGTGAATCTCCTTCTTCTGCTCTCTCTCCATTAACTGAAAAAGAAAAACCTGACAAAGACAAGGCCTAAATGACCATTTATACCAATGACAACTCTTGTTCTCTAGTGTTTAACAGACAAATATTCACCATTCCGCTTATGAGTCTCCCTCTTCTGTCTGTTGTGGTTCCATTACCTACAATGTAACTACTACAGACAAGACATCAAGCGAACAATCTATGCCCACCGCAACCCCCTTCCACTTGGAGAGACATCCACCCATGCACCCATCCGTGTGTTTCCCTGTTTCTCCACATGCTCCATGCCAATCTGCCAAAGAGAAAGATATCCAGTATTTAATTATTCTTAATTCACTTTTTTGGAAACTAACTCCATTATTCAGCCTGTTCGATCAGTTGTACCTGCTTCCTGAGCTCCATGTCTTCAAGTATGTCTCCACCTTTCCCCTTGTGAGTCTCTTTCTGCTCCACTTCAACCTGCAAAAGAAAAAGACAGCCCCAACTAAACCCTACCGGCTCCTCTTCTGCCTGCTCTATCTCCATTACCTGAAAAAGAAAAACCTGACACAGACAAGGCCTATTTAACAATCTATACCAACCACCAATCTTGTATCTTGGAAGGACGTTCATCCATGCACCTGTTGATCTGATTTTTAAAACAAGTTCCTGACCATCAATTTCCAGTCATTCCTGAGGTGTGATTTCCTTTTCTCCACATGCCCCAGTCTAATCTGCAAAAAACAAAAACAAGACTAACAGAGCTCTACTTGCTGACTGTTCTCCAACAATAAACCAAATGTTCTCCAGTGTTCTTCAAATAAATATTCACCATTCCGCTTGTGAGTCTCCCTCTTCTATCTGTTGTGGTTCCATTACCTACAATGTAAATAACAGCCACAGAGAAGACATCTAACAATCTATGCCCACCACCACCTCCTTCCTCTTGGAAGGACATCCATCCATGCATCAATTTGTGTGTTTTCCTGTTTCCTTTGGCCAATCTGCCAAAGAGAAAAATATCAAGTATTTAAACATTCCTAATACACTTCTTTGGACTCTAACTCCATTGTTCAGTCTGTTCAATCAGTTCTACCTGCTTCCTGAGCTCCAGGTCTTCAAGTATATCTCTACCGTTCCCCTTGTAAATGTCCTTCTTCTGCTCTCTCTCCATTACCTGAAAAAGAAAAACCTGACACAGACAAGGCCTAATTGACCATTTATACCAACCAAAACTCTTGTTCTCTAGTGTTTAACAGATAAATATTCACCATTCCGCTTATTCTTAACACACTTTTTTGGTAACTAACTTCATTGTTCAGGCTGTTCAAGCAGTTCTACCTGCTTCCAAAACTCCAGGTCTTCAAATATATCTCACTGTAATCTATGCCCACCACCAGCCCCCTCCTCTTGGAAGGACATCCATCCATGCACCCATTCGTGTGTTTCCCTGTTTCCTTTGGCCAATCTGCCAAAGAGAAAGATATCAAGCATTGAAATATTCCAAATACATTTCTTTGGACTCTAACTCCATTGTTTAGTCTGTTCAATCAGTTCTACCTGCTTCCTGAGCTTCAGGTCTTCCAAGTATATCTCTACCGTTCCCCTTGTGAATCTCCTTCTTCTGCTCTTTCTCAATTATCTGAAAAAGAAAAACCTGACACAGACAAGGCCTAATTGACCATTTATACCAACCACAACTCTTTTTCTCTAGTGTTTAACAGATAAATATTCACCATTCCGCTTGTGAGTCTCCCTCTTCTGTCTGTTGTGGTTCCATTACCTACAATGTAAATAACTGCCGCAGACAAGACATCTAGCGAACAGTCTATGCCCACCGCCACCCCCTTCCTCTTGGAAGGACATCCATCCATGCACCCATTCGTGTGTTTCCGTTTCTCCACATGCTCCATGCCAATCTGCCAAAGAGAAAGAAATCAAGTATTTAATTATTCTTAATACACTTATTTGGAAACTAACTCCATTATTCAGTCAGTTCAATCAGTTCTACCTGCTTCCTGAGCTCCAGGTCTTTAAGTATATCTCCACCTTTCCCCTTGTGAGTCCCCTTATTCTGCTACCTCTCCATTATCTGAAAAAGAAAAACCTGACACAGACATGGCCACATTAACCATCCATACTCACCACCACACTTGTATGTTGGTAAGACATCCATCAATTCACCCGTTAATCTGATTTTTAAAAATAAAATACTGACCATCCAGTCATTGCTGAGGTGTGTGATTCCCTTTTTCTCCATGTGGTCCATTCCATTCTGCAAAATACAATAGAAAGATGTCAAGTCATTAATTATTGTTAATACACTTTTTTTGGAAACTAAATCCATTGTTCAATTTATTCTAGCAGTTCTACCTGCTTCCTGAGCTCCATGTCTTCAAGTATGTCTCCACCTTTCCCCCCTTGTGAGTTCTCCTTCTGCTCCACTTCAACCTGCAAAAGAAAAAGACAGCCCCAACTAAACCCTACCGGCTCCTCTTCTGCCTGCTCTATCTCCATTACCTGAAAAAGAAAAACCTGACACAGACAAGGCCTATTTAACAATCTATACCAACCACCACTCTTGTATCTTGGAAGGACCTTCATCCATGCACCTGTTGATCTGATTTTTAAAACGAGTTCCTGACCATCAATTTCCAGTCATTCCTGAGGTGTGATTTCAATTTCTCCACATGCCCCAGTCTAATCTGCAAAAGACAAAAACAAGACTAACAGAGCTCTATTGACTGACTGATCTCCAACAATAAACCAAATGTTCTCCAGTCTTCTTCAAATAAATATTCACCATTCCGCTTGTGAGTCTCCCTTTTCTATCTGTTGTGGTTCCATTACCTAAAATGTAAATAACAGCCACAGAGAAGACATCTAACAATCTATGCCCACCACCACCCCCTTCCTCTTGGAAGGACATCCATCCATGCACCAATTTGTGTGTTTCCCTATTTTCTTTGGCCAATCTGCCAAAGAGAAAGATATCAAGTATTTAAATATTCCTAATACATTTGTTTGGACTCTAACTCCATTGTTCAGTCTGTTCAATCAGTTCTACCTGCTTCCTGAGCTTCAGGTCTTTAAGTATATCTCTACCGTTTCCCTTGTGAATCTCCTTCTTCTGCTCTCTCTTCATTAACTGAAAAAGAAAAACCTGACAAAGACAAGGCCTAAATGACCATTTATACCAATGACAACTCTTGTTCTCTAGTGTTTAACAGACAAATATTCACCATTCCGCTTGTGAGTCTCCCTCTTCTATCTGTTGTGGTTCCATTACCTACAATGTAAATAACAGCCACAGAGAAGACATCTAACAATCTATGCCCACCACCACCCCCTTCCTCTTGGAAGGACATCCATCCATGCACCTATTCGTGTGTTTCCCTTTTTCCTTTGGCCAATCTGCCAAAGAGAAAGATATCAAGCATTTAAATATTCCTAATACATTTCTTTGGACTCTAACTCTATTGTTCAGTCTGTTCAATCAGTTCTACCTGCTTCCTGAGCTCCAGGTTTTCAAGTATATCTCTACCGTTCCCCTTGTGAATCTCCTTCTTCTGCTCTCTCTATTAACTGAAAAAGAAAAACCTGACACAGACAAGGCCTAATTGACCATTTATACCAACCACAACTCTTGTTCTCTAGTGTTTAACAGACAAATATTCACCATTCCGCTTGTGAGTCTCCCTCTTCTGTCTGTTGTGGTTCCATTACCTACAATGTAACTACTACAGACAATACATCTAGCGAACAATCTATGCCCACCGCCACCCTCTTCGTCTTGGAGAGACATCTACCCATGCACCCATCCGTGTGTTTCCCTGTTTCTCCACATGCTCCATGCCAATCTGCCAAAGGTAAAAATATCAAGTATTTAATTATTCTTAATACACTTTTTTGGAAACTAACTCCATTATTCAGCCTGTTCAATCAGTTGTACCTGCTTCCTGAGCTCCAGGTCTTTAAGTGTATTTCCACCTTTTCCCTTGTGAGTCCCCTTATTCTGCTACCTCTTCATTATCTGAAAAAGAAAAACCTGACACAGACATGGCCACATTAACCATCCATACTCACCACCACACTTGTATGTTTGTAAGACATCCATCAATTCACCCGTTAGTCTGATTTTTAAAAATAAATTGCTGACCATCCAGTCATTGCTGAGGTGTGTGATTCCCTTTTTCTCCATGTGGTCCATTCCATTCTGCAAAATACAATAGAAAGATGTAATTAATCATTAATTAATGTTAAAACATTTTTTTGGGAAACTAAATCCATTGTTCAATCTGTTCTAGCATTTCTACCTGCTTCCTGAGCTCCAGATCTTCAAGTATGTCTCCACCTTTCCTCTTGGGAGTTCTCCTTCTGCTCCACTTCAACCTGCAAAAGAAAAAGACAGCCCCAACTAAACCCTAACGGCTCCTCTTCTGCCTGTTCTATCTCCATTACCAGAAAAAGAAAAACCTGACACAGACAAGGCCTATTTAACAATCTAGACCAACCACCATTCTTGTATCCTGGAAGGACGTTCACCCATGCACCTGTTGATCTGATTTTTAAAACAAATTCCTGACCATCAATTTCCAGTCATTCCTGAGGTGTGATTTCCTTTTCTCCACATGCCACAGTCTAATCTGCAAAAGACAAAAACAAGACTAACAGAGCTCTATTGACTGATTGATCTCCAGCAATAAACCAAGTGTTCTCCAGTCTTCTTCAATTAAAATTCACCATTCCGCTTGTGAGTCTCCCTCTTCTATCTGTTGTGGTTCCATTACCTACAATGTAAATATTAGCCATAGGGAAGACATCTAACAATCTATGCCCACCACCACCCCCTTCCTCTTGGAAGGACATCCATCCATGCACCAATTTGTGTGTTTCCTTGTTTCCTTTGACCAATCTGCCAAAGAGAAAGATATCAAGTATTTAAATATTCCTAATACATTTCTTTGGACTCTTACTCCATTGTTCAGTCTGTTCAATCAGTTCTACCTGCTTCCTGAGCTCCAGGTCTTCAAGTATATTTCACTGTAATCTATGCCCACCACCATCCCCTTCCTCTTGGAAGGACATCCATCCATGCACCCATCCGTGTGTTTCCCTGTTTCTCCACGATCCATGCCAATCTGCCAAAGAGGAAGAAATCAAGTATTTAATTATTCTTAACACACTTTTTTGGAAACTAACTCCATTGTTTAGTCTGTTCAATCAGTTCTACCTGCTTCCTAAACTCCAGGTCTTTAAGTATATCTCCACCTTTCCCCTTGTGAGTCCCCTTATTCTGCTACCTCTCCATTATCCGAAAAAGAAAAACCTGACACAGACATGGCCACATTAACCATCCATACTCACCACCACTCTTGTATCTTGGAAGGACGTTCATCCATGCACCTGTTGATCTGATTTTTACAACAAATTCCTGACCATCAATTTCCAGTCATTCCTGAGGTGTGATTCCCATTTCTCCACATGCCCCAGTCTAATCTGCAAAAGACAAAACAAGACTAACAGAGTTCTACTTGCTGGCTGATCTCCAACAATAAACCAAATGTTCTCCAGTGTTCTTCAGATAAATATTCACCATTCCGCTTGTGAGTCTCCCTCTTCTATCTGTTGTGGTTCCATTACCTACAATGTAAATAACAGCCACAGAGAAGACATCTAACAATCTATGCCCACCACCACCCCCTTCCTCTTGGAAGGACATCCATCCATGCACCAATTTGTGTGTTTCCCTGTTTCCTTTGACCAATCTGCCAAAGAGAAAGATATCAAGTATTTAAATATTCCTAATACATTTGTTTGGACTCTAACTCCATTGTTCATTCTGTTCAATCAGTTCTACCTGCTTCCTGAGCTCCAGGTCTTCAAGTATATCACTACCGTTCCCCTTGTGAATCTCCTTCTTCTGCTCTCTCTCCATTAACTGAAAAAGAAAAACCTGACAAAGACAAGGCCTAAATGACCATTTATACCAATGACAACTCTTGTTCTCTAGTGTTTAACAGACAAATATTCACCATTCCGCTTGTGAGTCTCCCTCTTCTGTCTGTTGTGGTTCCATTACCTACAATGTAACTACTACAGACAAGACATCTAGCGAACAATCTATGCCCACTGCAACCCCCTTCCACTTGGAGAGACATCCACCCATGCACCCATCCGTGTGTTTCCCTGTTTCTCCACATGCTCCATGCCAATCTGCCAAAGAGAAAGATATCCAGTATTTAATTATTCTTAATTCACTTTTTTGGAAACTAACTCCATTATTCAGCCTGTTCGATCAGTTGTACCTGCTTCCTGAGCTCCATGTCTTCAAGTATGTCTCCACCTTTCCCCTTGTGAGTCTCTTTCTGCTCCACTTCAACCTGCAAAAGAAAAAGACAGCCCCAACTAAACCCTACCGGCTCCTCTTCTGCCTGCTCTATCTCCATTACCTGAAAAAGAAAAACCTGACACAGACAAGGCCTATTTAACAATCTATACCAACCACCAATATTGTATCTTGGAAGGACGTTCATCCATGCACCTGTTGATCTGATTTTTAAAACAAGTTCCTGATCATCAATTTCCAGTCATTCCTGAGGTGTGATTTCCATTTCTCCACATGCCCCAGTCTAATCTGCAAAAAACAAAAACAAGACTAACAGAGCTCGATTGGCTGACTGATCTCCAGCAATAAACCAAATGTTCTCCAGTCTTTTTCAAATAAATATTCACCATTCCGCTTGTGAGTCTCCCTCTTCTATCTGTTGTGGTTCCATTACCTACAATGTAAATAACAGCCACAGAGAAGACATCTAACAATCTATGCCCACCACCACCTCCTTCCTCTTGGAAGGACATCCATCCATGCATCAATTTGTGTGTTTTCCTGTTTCCTTTGGCCAATCTGCCAAAGAGAAAAATATCAAGTATTTAAATATTCCTAATACACTTCTTTGGACTCTAACTCCATTGTTCAGTCTGTTCAATCAGTTCTACCTGCTTCCTGAGCTCCAGGTCTTCAAGTATATCTCTACCGTTCCCCTTCTAAATGTCCTTCTTCTGCTCTCTCTCCATTACCTGAAAAAGAAAAACCTGACACAGACAAGGCCTAATTGACCATTTATACCAACCAAAACTCTTGTTCTCTAGTGTTTAACAGATAAATATTCACCATTCCGCTTGTGAGTCTCCCTCTTCTGTCTGTTGTGGTTCCATTACCTACAATGTAAATAACTGCCACAGACAAGACATCTAGCGAACGGTCTATGCCCACCACCACCCCCTTCCTCTTGGAAGGACATCCATCCATGCACCCATCCATGTGTTTCCCTGTTTCTCCACATGCTCCATGCTAATCTGCCAAAAAGAAAGATATCAAGTATTTAATTATTCTTAACACACTTTTTTGGTAACTAACTTCATTGTTCAGGCTGTTCAAGCAGTTCTACCTGCTTCCAAAACTCCAGGTCTTCAAATATATCTCACTGTAATCTATGCCCACCACCAGCCCCCTCCTCTTGGAAGGACATCCATCCATGCACCCATTCGTGTGTTTCCCTGTTTCCTTTGGCCAATCTGCCAAAGAGAAAGATATCAAGCATTTAAATATTCCTAATACATTTCTTTGGTCTCTAACTCCATTGTTCAGTCTGTTCAATCAGTTCTACCTGCTTCCTGAGCTCCAGGTCTTCAAGTATATCTCTACCGTTCCCCTTGTGAATCTCCTTCTTCTGCTCTTTCTCCATTAACTGAAAAAGAAAAACCTGACACAGACAAGGCCTATTTAACAATCTAGACCAACCACCATTCTTGTATCTTGGAAGGACGTTCATCCATGCACCTGTTGATCTGATTTTTAAAACAAATTCCTGACCATCAATTTCCAGTCATTCCTGAGGTGTGATTTCCATTTCTCCACATGCCACAGTCTAATCTGCAAAAGACAAAAACAAGACTAACAGAGCTCTATTGACTGACTGATCTCCAGCAATAAACCAAGTGTTCTCCAGTCTTCTTCAATTAAAATTCACCATTCCGCTTGTGAGTCTGTCTGTTGTGGTTCCATTACCTACAATGTAAATATTAGCCATAGGGAAGATATCTAACAATCTATGCCCAGCACCACCCCCTTCCTCTTGGAAGGACATCCATCCATGCACCAATTTGTGTGTTTTCCTGTTTCCTTTGACCAATCTGCCAAAGAGAAAGATATCAAGTATTTAAATATTCCTAATACATTTCTTTGGACTCTTACTCCATTGTTCAGTCTGTTCAATCAGTTCTACCTGCTTCCTGAGCTCCAGGTCTTCAAGTATATCTCACTGTAATCTATGCCCACCACCATCCCCTTCCTCTTGGAAGGACATCCATCCGTGTGTTTCCCTGTTTCTCCACGATCCATGCCAATCTGCCAAAGAGGAAGAAATCAAGTATTTAATTATTCTTAACACACTTTTTTGGAAACTAACTCCATTGTTTAGTCTGTTCAATCAGTTCTACCTGCTTCCTAAACTCCAGGTCTTTAAGTATATCTCCACCTTTCCCCTTGTGAGTCCCCTTATTCTGCTACCTCTCCATTATCCGAAAAAGAAAAACCTGACACAGACATGGCCACATTAACCATCCATACTCACCACCACTCTTGAATCTTGGAAGGACGTTCATCCATGCACCTGTTGATCTGAATTTTACAACAAATTCCTGACCATCAATTTCCAGTCATTCCTGAGGTGTGATTCCCATATCTCCACATGCCCCAGTCTAATCTGCAAAAGACAAAAACAAGACTAACAGAGTTCTACTTGCTGGCTGATTTCCAACAATAAACCAAATGTTCTCCAGTGTTCTTCAGATAAATATTCACCATTCCGCTTGTGAGTCTCCCTCTTCTATCTGTTGTGGTTCCATTACCTACAATTTAAATAACAGCCACAGAGAAGACATCTAACAATCTATGCCCACCACCACCCCCTTCCTCTTGGAAGGACATCCATCCATGCACCAATTTGTGTGTTTCCCTGTTTCCTTTGACCAATCTGCCAAAGAGAAAGATATCAAGTATTTAAATATTCCTAATACATTTGTTTGGACTCTAACTCCATTGTTCAGTCTGTTTAATCAGTTCTACCTGCTTCCTGAGCTCCAGGTCTTCAAGTATATCTCTACCGTTCCCCTTGTGAATCTCCTTCTTCTGCTCTCTCTCCATTAACTGAAAAAGAAAAACCTGACAAAGACAAGGCCTAAATGACCATTTATACCAATGACAACTCTTGTTCTCTAGTGTTTAACAGATAAATATTCACCATTCCGCTTGTGAGTCTCCCTTTTCTGTCTGTTGGGGTTCCATTTCCTACAATGTAAATAACTGCCACAGACAAGACATCTAGCGAACAGTCTATGCCCACCGCCACCTGCCTCCTCTTGGAAGGACATCCATCCATGCACCCATCCGTGTGTTTCCCTGTTTCTCCACATGCTCCATGCCAATCTGAAAATAACAATAAAACTGCTCATGTTTTAAAGTGTTGTTTATTGCTGCTCAGTAGCCAAATACAGCACAAAATAATAATTAAAAAAACAAACAATATTCCATTTCTGTCTTTGGACCTAAAAATAAATGGAAACGTTTGAAAACAGCTGGCTGCTATAGTTAATCCAATGTGCGTGCGTATTGGCATAACTTTGCTTATTTGCAGCAGATTTTTTTGTCGTACAAACGAAATGCAGGCGTTGAGAAGCATTTAATAAATAAAAGTGAATAATTAGTAATAGAATTATAAATAGAAGCATTTCATGAATAGTTTTCCACACTATAAGCAACAGGTAACAATTTTACTTTTGACCTAGATATCCATTATGGATATATTAGCTAAATATTATAATTATTATCATTATTATAGTGCACATAATGCACTTTTTTAAATAAGCAGATTTTTTTCTTTCTCTGCATGCTAGTGCCGCGCGCCTCTTTCTCTGCATAGGCCAAAACGGTTTGATTTTTAAAATATTAAGGATTTAGATTAATTAAATAAATTTTTTAGCAAAAGAGACGTTTAGTTCACATTTCACCATGCATTTCATCTAATAGGCTAATCTTTATAGCCTTATTAAACACATATTGTCTAAACCCACACATATTGTATAAAACTGAAAAGGGCATTTATGTTAATTATTACACTCAGGTTTGTTATTTGTTGCCTAGGCTACATGTGACAGTTAATGTTCTGGCTATGAAGCTTACGAAGAGGGCTTTCATTTTTTTTTACTTCTGAATGAAGAGGGAATCTGTATCTCAGCCTAATTATTATTTCTAATATTTACACACTGCATAATAGGCTAATCCGATCCAATCTTTTATTTAAGGAAAGAAAAACAAACTAAATGAATTTTTGTGAGTTGTTTTTATTCTGAGCTAATAACATGTTAGAAAATACTGCAAATCAAGCTGTTGCTATCTCCTCGTGGTTGATTGTTTGTTATTGTTATTAATTGATTGTTATTCAGTTGACAGCGCACGCACAGCCACGATACCGAGAGAAAACGTAGTCTAAATAATATATTATGTAATCTAAACGACCTAGAAAAACT